ATTTTATTGGTTACCTTGATTGTGCGAGTATAAACTTTGTGTTTTGTTTGCTTGCAGATTTATTGAGATCAAGGTGGAGATTTGTTGGGTTTTTTGATACCCAATAAATCAGAGCGATAATGTTAAACCGATTTTATACTTTGGGTTAGACTTCTTAGGCCTTGGCCGATGATTTGAGTGAAATGTCGACACCACAATGAACGAATCATTCCGATAACCGAAGTGGGCCATTTGAAGTAGCCTAATTTATTGGTGTTGCTCATGACCCGGCCCATTACCTTAGATGGCTTTTGGTTGGTAGCCCACTCATTTGTTGTCTATTGGGCCTCTAATTAAGTTAACCTAAAAGCCCATGTCTTTGGTATATATGCAGCCCATTTCTTGTGTTGTTGGGTGTGGGAGAAAAATGTAGCCGTGAGAGAGAGGAGCGTTGATTTGGTGCTTCCTGGTTTTGCTTTGTACTTGACCATCTTCTTTTTCTTCCTTTGTGGTTGAACCTTGAGGCTATTATCTTCTCTACACCTGTCCTTTGTGGGCGACCTGTGACCTGTCCTTTATGGGCAAACCGTAGCAACCGGTTGGGTGTTGTGCTTGGAGATTCGTTTGTTATTGGTGGTGTCGATTGGTGGTTTATCTGAGTTCATTTTGGCGTGATTGCAACTTCAAGAATCCTAACAATGCCAGTACACCACATACTGTAGTTATCATTAGTAAGTGAAGAAATATGAAGAGAATTGTTGTTTGCCATTTATTCTTTTAAGAGTTGTATAACCTCGCTCTAATCCCACTTCTGTTGGAAACTTGAAGATGAAAAAAAAAATTGGAAGAGAAGAAGATAATATTAAGAGAACACGCAATATTATTTCTTAAGAGATAAATGTCATTTGTATACTTCAAAGTGTACATGACGCTTGACATTGCCTTAGTTTTAAACAAATTGTAGGAGTGAAAACAGTTTTTTTTTTTAATTGTCAAATGACTGGTACAACAAAGTGTATACCAAACATGATTCTAAAGAAGATTAACAAACTAACATGAAATAAGTAGATTCCCACCTTAAAATATTCGAGATGTAAACGAACAAAGAACAATGAATCACACAAATTGATGAGAAAAGTATTTATTGGTCCATTATGATTTCATTTCTTTTGATAATAAGTTACCTTTCAAGAGATGAGTGGCGAATAAGTGAGTATTATTTGTAGGTCCTGCGAAATACATGGTTAATATTAAAATTTGTATTTAAAAATAATTTTTAGTAAAAAAGAGGATCTCGTCTATCTTAAATTTATTGAGAACAAAAGAATAACTTTTTGTGGGAATTGAACCGGTTTCA